GAGAGCACTGCCTTGCAGGGGCCACGTCCCTGGCAGTGAAACATCCCCACAAAAACCCACAAGACCTCCCAAAATGTTTCTGAGCAAAGCTAACTACAAGAAGACAATGCATAAGGGAGGCCAGGGTGTGATCCCAAAGGATGCTGAGCATTCCTGTGGTGCTCAGTCTGCTCCCGGCACCGAGGACACATCCCTGCTTGCCTCCAAAATGAAATTGCTTTTGGGGGTCATCAAAACCACTTGGAAATGAGCAAAGAGAAAATCTATGCTGGGTATTCGCATCACCACTCACGCTCCACAAGGAAGAAGAAGCAGACAATGCCTATGACAGCGATGATTATGCCGGGCACGATGAAGGACAAGCCCCAGTCAGAGGACACCCAGACGCCCGCGATGAGAGAGCCCAGGATATTGCCCACGGAGGTGTGTGAGTTCCAGATGCCCATGATCAGACCCCTCCTGTGGGGCAAGACAGTGGGATGAGCATCGGCTGTGAGCAGGAGGCACGGGGACAGGGACGCGCACTCACTTCCCCTTCCCAAACCAGTTCCCGACACATGCCACGACTGCGGGCCAGCCGGTCGTCTGTGCCAGCCCATTGCACACCTGGCAGGGAGAGAGCAAACACCCAAACGTGGGTATTTTTCCCAGCAGGAGGAAGCAGAGCGACATCCCAGAGTGTCATCTGGGAGCACCTGCCAAACTGGGCGGGCGGTATCGGCGCCCACACTGAGCGGGGAGGAAACGCCAAAACTGAGATGAGGTCAGGCCACACCTGCACAACGATGAAGTACCACAGGACGTGGATGTTCCAGAAGTAGCCAAAGCCAAAGAGTGCTGTGAAGATCCCACTCAGCACCATGCCCACTGACAGGTAGTACCGCAGCGGCAGCCGCTCCCCGAAAATGCCACTGTGGAGAGAGCATGGGAAACTGAGCAGTGGTGCCAAACGGGGAGCGTGGGGCTGAGCTGGGGAACACGAGCACAGCCCCTGTACCTGATGAACATCCCGATGGCATACGCCACAAGGAAGGCATTGTCCAGAGCACCAAAAAGCTCGTTGTAGTTGTCCTGATCTGGAGAAGAGAAAGCATTAGGGCTGCGGCTGCATCCCCATCCCCATCCCCACCTCACAGACCCTCCCAGGTCGGGCTGCAGGGCTGGGAGCTGGGAGCTGGGAGTCAGACCACCCTGTCCTGATTTCAGCGTTCACTGTCCTTTGGTCTGGGGCACAGGGCACAATCCTGCACCACTTAATCACCTCCAGCCTAATGAGTGCTGGGCCCCTCCCTGCCCAGCTTAACCCATTAATGACTGAAACTGCCTCCAGGCACAGAGCTGAGATTTGGGTGCGTTTGGGGTGCTGGGTACCAGCCTTACCGAAGGGCGCCCAGCTGCACCACGTGGTGCTGTTGGAGTCGTTGTGGGGGTTGGTGCCCAGTTCCGAACAGTTGAGGTGCAGCTGGCTCTGGGAGGGTGCACAGAGCAAATGGGATGAGTGCAGTCCGGGGAGGTCCTCAGGGATCCTCCCAGGATACGGGAGATGGGATGTGGGTACGGGGTGCTGTGTCGCTCACCTTGACGATGCTGATGGGTTTTCGGGAGAGGTGGTAGCTGGTGTAGGAGAGGAAGGTCAGCACTAGCGTCAGTCCACGGTAGCTGCAGGACAGGGGAGTCAGGGATAGGGGAAAAAACCCAGTTACCACCTCAAAAAATTCCATTCTTCAGTATGAGATCAGGAGGATGAGAGTCAGCAGGACATAGGATGGATCCTTGCAGGGAGTGGTTGCAATATTTGGGTGTAGGCATACTACTCTTAGCCTGTGATGGAGAGCTGAGCAGCTTCCTTTGAAAAGCATGGAAAAGGGGAAAAGTGCGGCCATTTTCTCTCAGTTCTCCCCCTGAATACCCCTGGTTCTTATGAGGATGGTGGAGGACTTTCTACTAGGTGGATCAGCTCCAGATAGGCATTTCCCCAGGCAGTGCAGTGCCCTGAGGTTGGGGTTGTAATTGGGATAAAAGATAAGAGTGGGATTATTGCTAATGGAGTGATTGGCTGGGCTGGGGCTTCTCTGGCCTTGCAGCCCCACGTCACGCGGGGCCACGGGTGGAAGCGTGGTGGAGTCACAGCACCGCCAGCACTCAGCAAAACCGAGCTGGGAAATGGAAAGGGAGGAGGGCTGCACGCTTTGTTCCCTCCTGTTTGCTCCAATTAAATGTGGGAAACTGGGAAAAATGGGGAGAGGTGTCTCCAAAGGATGCTGCTCTGAGCAGAGCTGAAGAAGAGCACCTGGAAGATCCCAACCCAAAGAGTGGGACTCTGCATCCTGATTAAAAAAAAACGAAACCAAACACAACAAAAACAATGGAAAGCCATTCAATTTTATAATGAAATCACTGCTGAGCACTGCAGGGCATTGCGAGTTAGAAAGAGGAACAGAAACGTCCCGTGTGCGTCCCGAGCCCAAGGGACAAACTGGGGGGTGGAAAAGACGGCAGCAGAGCAGGGCAAGCAGAGCGGAAGCAGGCGGCAACCGGGTTGTTCAGCCGCGGCTGCAGAGCGCTCTGCTCCATTAACCCGGCGCAGACTCGGCACCTCATCCCGCAGGACAGGACGGACGGGATGCCTGCAGAAGCGCCCAACCCAGGCTCTGCGTGTCCCGAGGGGGAACCCGGTATCCCTAACTGCTCCCAGGGACGCGCTCAGGGGCTCCCCCAGCACCACGCGTCCTCTGCCTGGAGCAGCCCTGCGAGGCTGAGCCTCGGGGCACCCGGCAACATTTTCCCACCGCCCAAGCGCCGCACCGGCCCCTCTGCCCACCACTGCCCGAGGCCGGGGAGGCACGCAGCCCATACGGACGACACGGCAGGAGCGAGGTGCGAGGGCGGCAGCTCCACCCTGCCACGTGCCGCATCCCCGTCCGCCGCATCCCCGTGCAGCGGAGCGCAGCGCCCCCCACGTTTCCCCGCTGCCCATCCCGCGCCCCCGCCGGGTCCTCCCTCACCGGCTGTCCCGGGGCACGGCGCGCAGCAGGCGGATGCCGGGAGCGAGCGCTGCCCTCATGGCGAGCGGTGGGCCGCTCCCCGCTCCCGCTCCCGGCCCTTTAGTGCCCCGGGGCCGCCGCTCCCCGCCCGGCGCCGCCCAGGGACCGCCCCGAGCCCCGCACCGCCCGCCCCAGCGGGGGGGATGGGGAGAAAAAAACCTAAACAGGTGATGGAAGAAGTGAGAAACGAAAAAAAGAAGGAAAAGAAAAAGGGGGAAGAAAGAGAAGAAAGGAGGGGTGGAAAAAAAAAAATAAAAGAAAAAACAAAACGAAACAGAAGCGCGGGGAAAAAAGGGGGAAAGAAAAAAAAAAGTACGCACAACTCAAATGTAAATAAGGAAAATGGAAAGAAAACAAAATAAAGGGAAAACAAACAAAAATAATGAAAAAAGAGGAAATGATGAAGTAAATAAAAAGAGCAAAAGGGAATTACAGGAAAAGGAAAAAAAGTGGAAAATAAAACAACAGAGAAAAAAAGAAAAAAATTGAAAAAAAAACCCAGAAAAATAGAGGAACAAAAAGACAAAAAAGAAAGATGAGAACACAAAAGATAAGGAAGTAGGGGAAAAAAATGGAAAAAAAAAGACAAAATAACGAAATCAGAAAAAATATAGAAGGGAAAAAAAGTGGAAAGAAAACAAACAAAAACAGGAGGATGAAGAAAAAGGGACAAAGAGAAACTGAGGAGGAACAAATCGGGGCGCAGCTCACGGCTGCCCAGGAGCGCCGGCATCCCCACGGCCGCGGCTCTCAGGTCCCCCTGCGCCCCATCCCCCGGCAGCGCACGGAAGGGCTGCGGGATCGGCTGCCCCGGGCCAACCTGCTGCGCAGCGGCGGGCGAACCGAAGTCGACTGACGTGGATTTTGACACTGCCACTACACAGAACTGTCAGTGATGGGGCGTGAGCAGGGCTCAGCATCACCCACAGGTGACGGCAGCTTGACCGTGGCTCTATTTGACCGCCATCCCTTTAAGCTCAGCGTCGATGCAGCCTACAGCCCACGGGATGGACGGGAATCGGGTCCTCTGCCTCCCTGGAGCCCCAGGGCACAAGCAAGGCGACGCGGACACCCCAGCCCTGATCCTCGTGGGTTGGACGAGGTGAGCGACCCTCGAGGGCCATCTTCAGTGTCTTCCCATGACGCAAATCCCAGTTAATGAGTAGTGCTGGCACCACGGTGCTGAGCCACCTCCGGCCACGGTTCGGGGTCAGCGGCAGCAGCAGCGGGGCTGCATGCTTGGGCGCCTGCCCTTCCTGCCTGGGTTAATGGCAGAGAGGAGGCAGGAGGAGGCTTGGTCATCACGGCATCCCAGCAGGATGCAAGAAAATGAAGCTCTGATGGGGAGCTGGCGGCATGGAGTTTCAGTTCAGAGATACTCAGGGTCCCAGCAAAGCAAGAGGAGCAGCCCTGTGGGTGCCACACAGCAGCCTACAGTGTTGCCTTCTGCTCAGAACAAGTTTGTCCCAGCATCCCAAGAGCTGTGCCAAGAGACGAAACAGACCTTTCCCACAGCAAAGCCCATTCTTCACAGAGGAAACCGCTGGCCCTAGGAGCGTGGGTTGGGTGTTGCCCTGTAATTAGAGAGGTGCTCATTTGGAAGAAAGCAGCAAGCAATAGGCCTTGCTCTGAGAGTCAGGGGCCAGGGTGCACGATATGGAACTGAACAGAAAAGGACGGGGGCTGGGCTCAGAGGGCTTCTCCATCCAAAGCAGCTGCAGCATGCACCCCATTCCCAGACCGGCCGGGTGCCCGGGCTCCCACCTCCACGAAGTGAGCAGGGCGGGTGAAGGGCAGGCAGCAGACACACCTCCAGCAGCTGGACACACATCTGCAGCAAAAGCCTCTGCAAGCAATCGCTGGCGCAGGGCTTCAGCGATGCATGAGACAACATGACATTCAACCCCAGGCACCTTCTTTCTGCTCATTTCTCACCGCAAATGAGACCAAAGAGCATCATCTGTGCTGCAGTTTATTCTGCAGTTGAACGTGAAATCCAAGTGCTCGACTCTAACCAAGGGCACAGAGCAATCTGCTCCTCCACACCTGCCCTTGTCCTGTGCAATAGCCAACTGCACCCAGTCCAAGATGTGCAAACCTGAGCACAAACTGCATCAAAACGCATCGGCACGGTGCAGCTCCGGCCCTGAGACACTGCAGCACCGCCACCGCTGCCCTCCTCACAGTTTTGCAGGGCAGGTGCAGAGAGCAGCGAGGTGGCGGAGGGGCAGCTTCTGCCTTCCATCCACCAGGTCACAGGATGAGATGACAGACTGCAGTGCTTGGCTGTAGGCTGGGAGGGAAAGGGAGCAGCAGTGTTACAAGATGAGCATTTCACTGATTAAAAGCTTCAGGCTTCTCATGCAAGAAAAACACTTTTTTTGTTTGCTATTGAAAAAAAAAAAAACCATCAAGATGCCTGTAGTTTTCCACACTCTTTTTACAACCTACAGGCTATACAGCCACCTGTAGGATCCTCCTTACACAGCACTATTGTCAGCCAGAGGTTTCTATAAGGCTTCCATTTCTACAGCTTGGAAAGCCACCTAGCGGATGACTCCCAATTACTCAGCCAGGTGTTTGGCCGAGATCAGAGCACTCTCACATAAAGAAGATTTCCATCGCTTTCTTACAAGCAATCTCCCAAGAGCAGATTTGGCATTTAAGCAGAGCACTACAAAAGCCACTGGGTTCCCATGCCTTTAACCAGTTTGTTTGTTCTCCCCGTCAACATTACAGCAGTTACTTAACGCTCTGCCACAGCGGTTGGCATTCTGCTGATGATGCCATGGAGCTCACTGAAGAGACAGAGGAAGAAGGGACTGGTAAGGAGCAGCCAGGCACCCGGCTCCTCCCCACACACCATGCCTGAGCTGCCCCAGTCTTGCATCAGGCAAGCCAGCAGCTGGTGCAGCTCCGTGCAGTTAAGGTGTACCTGAAGCACAGAATGACATCTGGCCTGTTTGATTTCTCTCGGTACGGTCAGACCCACACCCTCAGCAGGGTCTGTGCCATCTCCTCTTGAGATGCAGGAGCTCCTACCTTTGTGGTTTTTGTAGAAGATGCAGTTGTTGGCACAGGTATCAGGGTGGGACTCCCAGAAGTCAGAGCTGCAGGAGCACAGGGGAGGCAAGTTGATGTTGTACAGTTTCATCTTCTCTTTCACCTCGGCTCTTAAAGCTTCGACATACCTGCAAGGCACAAAGCAGTCACTTAGGCTCAGCACAAGGAGCAGAGGCCCAGCTGTTGCCAGCTCACCTTGTGTACTCCTTATTTCGCTGCTCTTTTTGCTTGACCTCGTTTAGCCTCCTCTCCTCCAGTTCAAGCTGGGCCAGAACTTTGCAGACAACATCCCCCAGGAAGGGTTTTTGCTGCTTAGCCACCTCCTGCATCCTCTGCTCCTCCACCTGGCGCTGGTTCTCCTTCTTGCTCTTAATCCTGCAGGCACAGAGAGCTTTCACTGACCTCCTCAGACGGGGAAGAAGATTCCCAACATGACCTCCACACCAAGACAGGTGCTGGACCACGAATACCCACAGTGACACACGCTCCTGTTCTTCAAAAGCCAACTGCAGTGCTCTTAAAAAGCCTCCCGAGATGCTCTTCCACCCTTAAGAAACTAAGAATGGTGCCTGAGGTCCTCTATACCTACCCAGAGAGCAGCAGTTCCTGGGGACAATTGCTCAGCCTTCCCACATTTGATTTCCTCAAGCTGGGCAGTTTGGACTCTGCTTTAAGCTGTCCTTGCAAGAAGTCAATGACAAGGAAAATAAGGCTGCAGAAGCACAACAGAAAAACTCCAAGGATCCCACACCAACTCTGAACAGGCTCCAAGAAGTTAATTTATTTTTCCTTTTTTAACTAAACCCTTGCCCATTGCCTCACTCTCCCTTGCACCTACATGGCACCACAACCCCTTTTATGGAATCTGGATTATATAACTCAAAAACTGCAAAGCACATTCCCTTGAAGGTGGCAATTACAAAGCACAAAGACTTTAAACCAAAGCATGTGCCATTTTATTCCTGCTGATGTGTCCCAAATGTTATCACATATTACACACTGATCTCTGCCCAAAGGCATTCAGAATATCACAGCTAGGGAGAAGCCAGGGGAAGGAAGCATAATCGAATGGGACATTTAGATGTTACTCTATTTGTTGGGTCAAATACGAATGCTCAGAATGAAAGCACTGAAAGCAAACTTCTCTTGTCAAGTTATAAACTCTTTTTTATGAAGTGGTAATAGTGCCTTAACTACACTGCCATAAATCTTCCGCTACAGAAACCAAGGCCAAGGGCAGCTTAGCATTACGCGAAGAAATTGCAAAAACTGCTTTTTTTGCTGAGCAGCTTGCAGGCCCAGCAGAGCCCCTGCAACTACAAAAAGAAAAGAGAGGAAAAAAAAAGAGATCCAGCAGTAACTATGAGGTCCCTTGCATTTCACCAGCACTCGCAGGGCAAGAAAGTGCCTCCAAATCTCTGAGCACCAATTTAAGTTTCAGGAACGTGGCTGGAGAAACATTTCTTTGCAATTTCTGTCCAAAAAATGACCACCAAAAAAATGCCAGGACCTCACGCTCCAGGACGCTGCACTGCAGCAGGCTGGAGTCACTTAAGGGCTGGAGCATTTCTGCTGCCTGCTGGTCATCCCCTCAGATTGATTGGAAGTGGCTGCAGGTGACAGCTGGGCTACACTCCTTTTTTGAAACTGCATTTAAATGGAATGGAATGGCCAAATCTTGCCCTCACAGCCTGGTCCCACAGAACCAGAGTCAGAGCACAAGGAGATCAGGGAGACGTGTTATTTTATGCCAGAGCAAGTCAAAGACAAAAATGCAGAGCATCTTCCTTCTTTTAGTGTGAATTTGCAGAGCTTCTCCTTAAGGACCCCCCTAATGGGAAAGGTGACCCCGTCACCAAAACACAGGGAGACTTCCAGGTACATACTGAGTTTTTCTTTCTGGGAACAAATGCTAAAATAAGTTTTTATTATGCCATACAGATGTTTATAGCTGTTGGGGTGAAGGGTCTGATATAAAAATCCAGAGAAGATTGGCTCAAGAACAATGCCAATCTCACCCCAATGCTTCTGACAGTGGCAGCAGCACGAGGGCTGGGTGTTGGTGTCCCAGGGAACTGCGCTGCGGCGAAACGCGTCTCTCCAAGCCTGACCCCTCAGCTCCCAGCTCCCCCCAGAGCTGCACGGGGACTCACAAACTGAACAGAGAACTGTTGGGTGCCTCCAAAGGACTCAGCACAGCCTCTGGTTCTCTGTTCCTGTTTCAGGTGAATGAAACCCACCCGAGTTAATGGTTTGTGCACCAACACAGGAAGGGCTTCTCTCAGCTGACTTCCTGATTCATCTTTAGAAGTTCATAAAGAGGCAAAGGAGTCAGAAGAGGTGCCATCACGTGGTGTTGGAGTCTCCACAAAGCCTCCATGCCCTGCAGGGTGAGCTGCAAGGGGCACGTGACAGGGTGCTGCTCACCACACGCACTCACCCAGCAATCCTCCTCTGCCGCTCCTTTTGCCTCTGCTGCTCTTTCACTTGCTCTCGCTCGGCACTCATGAAGAGACGCCTGCACCTCAGGTACTCGATCCGACGCTGCAGGAATGAAGGTGCAGCGTTGAGAAAGATGCCTTGGAGCAGACTCAATATTAGGTAGTACAGACACTCAAGATTGACTTCTGGAGTTTGAGATCACCAAGATGGAATCCTCACTCTTTCTCCAAAGGATCCTCAGAAGTCTCTTAACAGTCAAGGACTGAAGAAAGAGATGGAGAGACGAGGAAAGGAGAACCAAAGCATCACGGAGCTCTGGAGAGCTTTGTACCAGTGCTCTCTGACTGATCCTCCTACGGATAAGGAATCTCTCATCTGAACTCTTGCTTTCCTCCTGGAAAAAGTCCTATTTCCCACCTAATCCCACTAAAGGAGTGTGGTATAAACAACAGTGCACAACCCCAAGCTGAACTCACCACGTGCAGAACTGCAAACATTCCGTATTTGGGCTTCAGCTTAAACCCACAGCTGCAGCAAGGGGGAGGAAAGCTGCTGGCTAAAGCTTACAGGCAAAGCGCTCCCACCTGAAGGGGAAGCAGTCAGCACGCAGCATGCCTGAGCCCCACGATTCCAGCAAGCTCAAGGCACAGGCTTCCTCATCAATACCAGGAGCTTTGGGCTGAGGGTGTTCACCCTGTTCTCTGCAGAGCCTTGCACAGCTGGATGTAAAGGCACAGGAGAGATTGGCAGGCTGAAAGGACAGAAAGCTGGATGGAAAAAAACCACATGGAAGATCCTGCTGCAAAACCAGTTATCTCAGAATGAATCAGAGCCAAGAAGATACAAAGCAAGGGGCAGAAGGAACCAAAGGGGGGAAGGAACAGTCTGACAAACCCCAGCTGCTGTCATGACTTCTAGAAACCACAACTGAATTTCTGGATCAGCTTGTTAGAAAATGCACATAAAGAACAAAAACACAATTTGTTCAAAGTCCTTTTGAGTTTTAGGCTGTAGACTACAAATAAGTTGGGGAAAAAAAAAAAAAGAAATGTTCAAGTCAGAAGGAAGCAGGAAAAAATAAGCCATTTTCTTAAGGGATCCAAGAGAAGCAACCTCTTCACCTCTCCTGCATTAACATGAGCCAAAGTGTTGGCCACAGATTGGTCCTGGTGATTAAATCAGACCCTCAGCACGCTACAGAAAGAGGCCAGATCCCATGAGCAGCGCACAGCAAACCCCAATATGCTTCAGCCACTCCTGAATTGAGTTAAGCAGCACTGCTCTGCTCAAGCAAAGTGCCAGCCAAGAGGAAGGAAACTCCCTGCCTTGTGCTGACCAAGCGGAGCAGCTCACGCTGAGCACAGCCAAGCTCCTGCAAGCATCACGGCTGCAGCCTGAAAGCCACCATCCCTCCTGCTGTGTGCTGATATGCAGAGAACCTTTTATACTCCCAGCCTCATACACAAACAAGATAAACTGGGGCTTTGTTCAATTTTTTTCTTTTCTTTTCACTGAGCATTTTTGGCAGCTCCTCCCTCTCTCTCCATGCAACTGCAGAGAACAAATCACAGCACCTCACAGCCTGTATTTCGCAAGGTTGAAGGAACCAAACCTTTTTTCCTAAAGCATTTTTAAGCATTTTTGCATCATTCAGATCCCAGATATTGTGGGAATAGCAACTGGTGTTGGCACATAGGGTCACAACAGACTTAAAAAAAGAAAAGAAAAAAAAAAAAAAAAGGAAGTTGGTGGGTTTGCTCAAGAAACCATCAGCACTGACAAACTCAGATGCTTCGTGCACCACTGCTGCTCCAGAGGCTTCTTCTCTGAGCCAGCAGCATCACCTAGCTCCCGTGCATTTTACTCCTGAAACAGACACAAAACAATGAGCACTTAGCTGCAGCAGACAAACCTGCTTCTTGCTTTCCTCTTGGTCTATGCCAGCCCACAGGACAAGGGGAGCTCGACAACCAAGGGTCGTTCTCTGCAGAGACTCAGGTGAGCTCAAATCCTTCGCTGATCCATCAGAGAACTGAAAGATAACAGGAGAGCAGCATCGACCTTCCTCTTTCCTCCAGAAAGTCCTCCAGGCTGGAGGTGGGTCCTCTCTGCATAATCCCCAGAGTAACACTGGGGACATTAGCTGCACACAGGATCACTTCAGAAGGACAGCATCCCACATGAGGGACCCACACAGAGCAGGGAAGTAGTGAGGATGAAGGAGCAGCAGAGACGGAGCACCTGAATGCCATTCCCTGTTCCCTTCCAGCACTCAGGAGGAGGAGGGGGGATGGGAAGGCAAGTAATTTTAGTTTGCTTTTAGCTCTCACTACTTTAATCTGTTATCAATAGGCAATAAATTACATTCATCTCCTTACATCAAATCTGTTTTTCCCCATGAAGACTTATCAGTGAGTGATATCTGGGGCCCTGAGCAGCCTGGTCTGGTATTAAATGGGGAGTTTGGTGGCCCTGCATGTGGCAGGGGGGTTGGAGGTTCACATCCTTGAGGTCCCTTCCAAACCTGGCCATTCTGAGATTCTATCCTCATCTCAACCCACGAGCTGTTTTTTCCATCATATTTTCTCACCCTGCTCTGTTGAAGAGTGGGAATGACAGAGTAGAGGGATGGAGCTCAGCTGCTTATCAGTGCCACACCACTCCAGCGGGTTGGCTTCTCCCCATCACCAGAGAGAAGACATGTTCTGCATCTCCATGTGGGAGCATGCGGAACAGAGCTTTGACAAAACTCTTCTAGAGGTACCCTTAGACTTTTCTGTTTCAGTCCAAACAAGGATTCATAAAACCCTCTCACCTGTTGAACTTTCATTGTGAACTTCATGAAGTGCAAGAAAACAATAGCAACACAGAGAAAAGTGCAGAGGACAACAGACAGCATCTCCCCAAACCCTCTGCCTTCTTCACTCCACTCAAGGTATTTGTCAAGTCAGTATTTCAGCTGGACCAGCCACCAAACAAGCAGCACATATTGCTTCAGCCATATCGTATTTGCTAACTATTCCAAGTAATCCAAAGGGCAAAACATTTCCATACCTCAGATGCTTAATAAAGCTGCCTGAAAACAGAAAACCCATTGATAAATACATTAGTTCCCTTCTTGGGAGGATGCACATTAATGGTGCTCCTAAGGATGAGCGATCTCGGCTCATTCCTCTGACTAAAATCTTCTGGTTTTTCCCCTTTTAACAGAGGTTTCTGGCCAGTTTGATGCATGCACAGCTCTCCCATCCCACCACTGCCTCCAGCAGGGCAGAAGGACACGGGACAGCTGCGGTCCTGCTGCCCCAGCCTGGAGCTTGATTAAGCACCCAGTGCAATTGCACAGTGAGTCTCAGATTTCTGCGGAGCATGAGACAACTGGCATGACGAGGCAGGCGCACATGAAACCACTTTGGAAGCCACAGCGCTCAGATCAAAGCCATGAGAGCACAACGTCGAAACGATATGGCTGTTCTAAGAGCAGGAACAGAGCTCTCATTACACTTACCTACTAACAGGCTCCAAGCACTTAAAAACGGTGCTCTTGTGCCTACAGATCAAGATACAAGTTCCTGTGCACCTTCTTGCAGAGCCCTCGTGCAGTGCACGCCACAGAGCCTTCTCCAAGCCACCGATCTCACCTTGCTTTCACACTCGTTGGTCTTTGTTGACCAGAGGTGACAGCAGGCACAAGCTTGCCAGGTGTGAAGGTGCAAATGGAACTACAACAGCAGCCTCATTGCCCCTGCCTGAATGTAATCCCCAAAGACTTGCACTTCTTAAGTTCAACTGGCCCAGACTCATGTCTCACTTTTCTAAATTCCACTTTGATGTAAAAATCATCATCTTGCTCAGCCTGATGTGGAGCTGTCATCTGGTCTTTCAGTTCAGCTGGAAGATCGTGATGTCCTGCTAGAATAAGCTCCTCATTCTCACCTTCAGTGGACACTGGGGCACACAGCACTGATTCCTGGAGGAGAGAGGAGGAAACGTGAGGTTCAAATGTGACTGCTTTAGGTGCAGAATGCAAAGGCAATGTCCTCGAGTAAGGGTTAGACATACTTTTAACCTCAGGCCACCTGCTCTGAGAAGCTAGTCGAGATCTGGCAGGCAGCAATGCAATGTATTCAAACATCACCGCAGGGCTTAAGAGCCAGAAAATCTAGCAGGGTGGCTCCTGACTACATTCTCACCAACTGCAGAAACAGAGGGACAGAAGTGTGTGGGGTGATGGAAAGAAAACACCTTTACACCTTTCTAGGCAACACTTCCTGACTGCAAGGATGTGGGGTGAGCAGGATTGCTTGAGCGACGCTCATTCTGTGCTCGTTCAGATGGTAAGTGGGCAGGCTCCTGAAAGGGTATTACAATATTTTGAGAGGCAGCAGATTGTTTCCTACAAACTAAAAATCAAAATGCCAGAAGCAAGCTCTGAGCCAGATTTTTTTTTTTTCCTTGCTATCCCTTCAGCAGGATAGAAACAGGGACAGGAAGGGAAGAGCAGAATTGCTTGCAGAGTGAATCAACAGGAGGAATGTGGGTCAAGCCAGGAATCGCCCAAGATGGTTGTGCTGCTGCAATACATGGGGCATGGAGGGCAGCCTGGAGCCAGAAGGAAATGAAACTGCAGAGAGAAAAAACAAACCTTTGGGGAACAATCAGCTGGGGAAAAGAATTCGGGTGCTATCATGCTGGAGACCTACAAACACTAAAGACAAAGCAACAAAAGGCATGGTAAGCAGGATCACCCGGAACACAGGACCAGTAATTTCCACACTACTGCAATCTAGGTATCTGCCTGCAGGAAATCAGACATGCAGCAGGAAACAGACCAGCAAGATCTCTGAAAAATGTCTGACCTGAAAAGAAATCCCTGGGACAGACCAGCAGTGGTTTCAGGAAATAGACTTCTTGTTTAACAGTCACAGGGAATGCAAGTCTTTACTGGGAAGAAGGAAAAACAAAAGCAAAAGGTGGAAAACGGGACTGAAAAAGCAGATGATCCAGTAAGCAATGCTAACTGAACAAGTATAAGCTACTCTGCCGGAGTGGAGAGCCACGATGCACAGTGAGACAAACCTGGCTCAGCTCCAAGCTCTTTTGGTGCCCATGATCAATGCGAGCACAGAGGAAATGGAGCATGGTTCAGATTACAAAAAGAATCACGTAGGAGACAACACAAGCACACAGGGACATAAAACAAGTGCCACAAAGGCCAAGGCTGTAAGTAAAACAAGAGACATCAAGGTAACAAGAAATCAGGCTTTCAGTAGGGAAGGGACAAGGAGAGGGACAGCTATCAGAGGACACCAGGCACACCACCATCTTATGCTTGTGTGCATCAGCCTTCAGCCAAAGCAGCGTTCTGAGCTAGTAACAGCAGCAAGGAAAATCCGGGACTAAACCTGGAAGGAGAAAAGTCAGAATATTCCTAGAAATTGAAACTGCTTTTGTAAGTGTGCAGGACCTGCCCCAGGCTACCTCCAGGACTGGCAGACAAGCTGGTAGGAGCCCCCTCAGACACAAGAGGAGATCTAGATCCTGAGGAATGGGCACACGTCTCAGTTTTAGCCCAGCTTTTGACATGGCCTAATTCAGCACTTTGGGAAGGAAACATCTATTAGGTAAAACCATTAAAAGGACTTGCAGTAGTGATGACAAACACTATCAAGACTCGGTCACACTGGGTTTGCTGAGAAAGGAAAGGACTAAGTGGGCACTGCTCAGTAATTTCATTATCAGCCAGGGTGATATCAGCCTTGATGGCATTCGCAGACCCCATAACCACGTGAAGTTGTAGAAGTGCCAGAACAGTTTAAATGCTTGCATCCAAATGAAAGAGACTGGATGGAGAAGGCAGCACAAGGAAGTTCAACAAAAAGGAAGAGCAACAGTTCATCAAAGTGTTAACTGCAACAGCCTTTACCCCCGAAAAGGAGGGAATAAGCTGCTGTCTTAATTATGACCATGGAAACCAGGCGTGTATGCAGGAAGAAAGATTCACATTAACAGAAGACCTCTTTTCTTTTCTATCTTGGAATAATACGAGAAAGCAGTGCAATGAATTAACATATTCACTCTGGACTAAAGTTGTCTACAAAAGCTAAGAGCGCCTTCTTGTCAGAGGTTTTAAGGAAGCACAGATCAGCCTTTTTCTGCAGCTCAGGTAAGGGTGCATGTGGTGACCCGCAGCCTCTCCCAGACTCGTTCCTCACTGCTGTGGACAACCCGTGTGACTCGCACACCACACATCCCACAGCCGCTGCCTGCTCCAAGGGCCTGCATTGCACAGGCTGTTACTCATGTCAGGATGCAGCACCAACAGCTAAGTAATGTTCTCTCTCCATCTTGCTGAGCATCGAGGACTTGAGTAGAAGCTACATGCGGTGCTTGAAATAAATACAAGTTCTTTGAGCCATAATTACAGCGTTTCTGCAATTCTTGTTCACAAAGCTAACTTTCTCAGACAGACACCCAATAGTACGGAGCAGGAAGAGTCAGACCAGCCCTTACATAAAAGGCATTTTCTAGATAACAGCTAGCCAAAATGCACTTCACCTTTGATGAACCCGAAAAGAGAAGGGAATGAAGAAGTGCAAGATGGGCAGGAAGCTGGCTCCAGTGGAGGCAATGAGACAAAACAGCAGGCTGGGCTGCTGCTAGCATTCTCCAGAACTTGCAGATGGGCAAAGTACATCAGTTAAAAAAAGGACTTGGCATACAAAGCAGGACACAGTTATGCCAGTAGCTGTGGCATAAAGCTGATCTTGAGCAATCAGAACAGGATGAAATTCAACAGCACAAAAGGTCAGGCACTTGGGACTAATCTTGTTATGCGGCTCCTATGTTCTTAGTGCTCTGAGAAAAGGAGATGCATGCCAACAAGCCTGAAGCCAGCCCTGAATGAGGAAAGTCCTCCAGGTCTCTGTCTCGTTCACAAAACAGACTGCTGCAGTAAGAGCAGTTGAAGTTTGCTGAAGGGCACACAAGGCGTGGGCCAATCACCGCATTCCTCCCAGATCCCCAGATTACAATCTAAGCCTTTAAAATATTATTTAAATTCTGACTTCCTAGTTTATCTTTCATTACTCTTGCAAACAGAGGTGTTTCTACCCACTGTCCTGCTGCCTTCTCTGAAAGGTGGCTGCAAGAACAGAAGCATCCACGCAACAGAGCCCTCGGGCCCTGCTCGTCCAGGGGCAGGTACGTCACCACCAGGATCACAAAGCCACAGATTTTGCTGAAGAACCTCCCCGAGTGACTCTTCGGGTTTGCAGTTCGCACCAGCCCTGCCCACGGCCTTGCAGGTAACTCACTCCCTGCCCAGCTGCCCCACTCACATCTTGCCTCTGGCCTCGTGTCCACGTGCCGCCGGGGAGCTCTGGGGCCTCCATGCCTTTGGGCACCGTCCGACAGGATGCCAGCCTGCGCCGGACTTGTCTCATGGCTCTGCTGAGCTGTCGTGAGGAGGACAGAAGGACGGACACAAGTCAGCAGACATCCTCCAGGAGTGCTGCACCAAGGAGTTCATTTACATGAAGGAGGCGTCCCAATGGGCCCTGCTCAACACCAGCTCCTTGATAAACACATTATAATGTGCCAAACGCACCATAACCACTACTGAAAACACGACAGTCCCTACAACACATTCGCCGAGATTTCAGGGTCCCACACAGTCCATCTGCAGAACACTCGCTCAATGAGGTAGCACCATCTAGTGCCTCCTCTCCAACATGGCATCCCAGCACAGCAATAGGTCACAGCTGAGGATTTGCAGCAGGTTTTAACAAAAATTCATTGTATCTGCAAGCAGCGGGGCAAGTACAAGTGTCCTACGGAGCGGTACACCAACATTTGTTAAAAACAAGCGTAAGCCAACGCTTCGTTCAGCATAAAATATATAAACATACTAGGCAAGTGTTGTAAGAGGGTAGAAAACAAAATGTCGCCCATTTTCCATCTTAATCCTACAGCACTCAGCACGATGGAACAGGGGTGGAAAGGATGAGGTGGAAGGGCCCCACGCACCTGGGCAGCTTGCTGCTGGAAGGGCTCGCTGGGCACTCCGTGCTCCTCCTGCTGTGCCAGGGCAGCAGGGCTGCAGATGGCGGGCAGGGGGCGGCTCCGGAACACACACGTGTTCTTCTGGGGGGTCTGCTGCAGCACCGAGCCCAAGCACTGCACGGCAAGGTTGCTCTCCTTCTCTGTCTGCCAGGGTAAAAAACCACGTGCAAATCTCCAGTCATCATCTCCCACCTGGCTGGCACGTGCTTCCGCAGAAGCTCATGCTGAGCTTACAGGATCGCACCCTCCTGTGGTTAAAACCAGGACTCTAAAGAACCACAAGCAAACACCAGCAGCTTGGCAGCTCTCTGCTCTGAGTGGTTCTGGCAGTAACCTGAGGACGTTCCCACTCGACCGTGCCTTCTCATCGCTGGAAGCAGCCCAAACACCCTCAGGGTGTCCAGAATTGTTGGTATTTCAGTACTTCCCTTTCTCACTGTACAGTGAGTTTCTGGCAACCATCACTGGAGTTTAAGAGGAGGAAGGATTAAATAATACATTCAAAGGATCATCTAAAACAAGCTCTTGGAGGGAAATGAGAGTATGTCATGGAATTGCTGCTTGGGAATTGCTATGTGAAGAGACAAGCAGAAACATGCTGCTTTCCCCTGACACAGCCAGGAGACACCTGCACCATTCACAACTCAGCCTGGCTATTTTTTAACACTCAAGATCTGAGGGGTCAGCAGGACTTTGTTCTCTAGATATTGCCCCAGAGAGCCAGCGACCTTTCCATTGAAACAGAAGGCTCAGTGCACCTCCAGCATCAGAGCAAGCCAAGGTGTTGGGCTGCCTTACTTGTGGGTTTGCCCCTTGCAGCAGTGGTGCTGGAGCCACAAGCTTCCTCTTACTGATACCCTAACTTGGGGTTGACAATGTTTTTCCGCCGGTTTAGAGGGACGCACTGCTTTGGACGGCAGAGAGAAGGAGCTGCTCACCGCCTCACAAGACCTCTGCAGCTGCTGCTTTCTTCTCGTCTTGACCTGCTGGTTCACCCGGCGCTTCACCTCTCCCTGGAAGTGCCTCAGCCTCATCGCCTTCCTCCTCTGCTGCTCCTTCAGCTCCTCCTCAACCTGAAATGCTGAAGCCTGGAAGAGATGAAAGCAGATTTCACGTGGTTTTGCAACGCTGCAGCCCACATCCCTGCTTCCCCTCCAAAGACCTGCAGCAACAGGCCAGATAAGCAGCACCCAGTGAGCTTCATAATAATATTTTATTTCAAGTGTGCAAAGTCCCAGCTTGGACAACGTACACTGGATTGCTACTGGCTAGAATCAAATCTAACTAGCCAGGTGCTGTTACAGAGCACACACGCTTCCTCCTTTGACCCCATGCACAGAAAGGAAAAATAAGAGCATAGCCTGATGCAGTGACTCCTGATCACCGTTCCACAAACAGATGCTCAAATATTCGAAGCCAAAGAACAGGGCTGGCCCAGGTCACATTAATGCTCTGTGCATTTTTCACTGAGTGCCTTGCAAGAGCAGTGCTGGACGCATATCAAACACTGCAGACCACAGCACAGGCAGAGCTACTGCTCTGACAGTGATTTTACCATCCAAAGTGAAAGATTAAAAGGAATGACCTAGAAATTAGGTTTTCATAGTTCCCAGTTGAAGCCACAACAGAAAATCCTGCTAACACTACCAAGGCTTAAAGAAAACCAGCTCCATTTCCTGGCTGCCAGATAAACAAGTCACTGGGCAAAACCCTGGAAAAGGGATCTGCAGGGGCAGATTGTCACCAGCTGCAGAGTAATTCAGTTTTATTTATTTAGATGCTCAGCTTTATACTGCTTTACATCAAACACAGCTTTGAGGAAGAGATCGAAGGGCAATAAGTGGTGCCACTGTAAGCAGCTGACAGACAGGGCTGCAGGGTTGGTATGGGTTACATCCTACCACCCACCACATACTTTTACAGCCTCAAATCCCAGGGATGGCTGCACCCCACACCTCAGTGCCAGGAAAACGAATGGCAGCAGGACCCCATTGGCACAACCACAGCATGAAGGCAGGCAGAACTCCACACTACTAGCAGCACTGAAGATGCCATTTCCAACTCGCCATGCTCCCTGCTGGCAATCTCATTAGCAATGCTGATTGAAGGCATTCATTTAATTTTTTAATACGACCCACTGCTGTATGCAGGTGTATTAAACAAGCTTCAATAACCTCACACAACTCTGCCCACACCTGAAGGCACAAGGGCAAAGGGGAGGCAAGAGCACAGCTGGCGTGTGGCAAACATGCAGAAGGTGCTCTGATGCACTGCAAAGGCTCAGCCCCCAACAACGACCAGCAGCTCTCAGTTGGCTTCAAAACCTGAGCCCCAGGAAAGCTCCAGCTCATCTCGAAGTTTGGCAGTGGAAGTTGCATGAATACAGAGACAATTCATTTCCATATATTATCTCAACCTTTCAGAATTTAAATTACAATATGGAAATAAATCATTGCAGAAGCACAGGAGCTTCTGTAACATTTTGACATTAATTAAAGGGGACTGAACTCATCATCCTATACTTAATGCACTTTTAGTCCTCTTACAATAACCCACAAAGCAGAAATCCCTGAGATAAGCACCAGAGAAGATTTTCTTCAGTATTTCTAATGGATGTACTTCATAGGTGGGCTCAAAACCCTACAGCATTTCTTTATTTTAAATCAGTAACTTGGAATAAAACCTCTGCTCACAAACATCCTTTAGGCACAAACAGAGAGGTGGCAAACAATACAAAGAGAACTGGCAGGGGGCAAAATGCCAGTAATCGTTAGCTTTGTTACCTATGGTAGAGGTCAGCTGCCAATAGCAAGCTAGAAACAGAGATCCAGCTAACGTTACAGTGGCTGGTGTAAAAAATTAAGTAATCAACAGCAGCTCTCTATGGAATCAGCAAGGGCCTTCATCTGATCGCTTCTGAAATCAACGTTTCTCATAAAAAATGCAGTGAGCAAATTCAGTGCATGTAGAAGGGAGGGGCGGGGCTACACGGGCACCTGGGCCTCTCGGGGCCCCATCAGAGAAAATAATTCGTGCTCCCGGCTGCCTGCAGCCCCAGGTGGGGCTCGCGTCACCCCCGCGGCGGGGCCGGACAGCACTCACGAAGGCACGGCTCTGCTCGCGGGGGCCGCTCTCCACCCAGGCGCCCACCGGGGCCACCCGCAGGCTCCTCTCGCCCAGCAGCGCCCGTCCCGTCCGCGGTGGTCTCGCCGGACGTCCCAAGGCCCCCCGTGGCGCCGGCGGCCGCGGTCCGGAGGATGGCGGCATTCCGGCACGGCTCCGGGCCGCTCCTGAGGAGAAACGGGGGGTGAGGGCGGACCCGCGGCCTACACCGCCATCCCCCGCCCCCGTGCGACCCCTCACGGCCCAGAGACCCCGCCGCACGCACAGCCCATCATCCCTCGCCACCCCGCACAGCCCCACTCGCCCCGCCTGAGCCGTAGACCCCCTTCGAACTCCTGCCCCCCAGAGCCCCACAGCGGACCGCACCAACCGCCGCTTCCGCCTCAGCGCTTCGTTTGAATCCTGGCGCCACTTCCGCCCGCGGCCCCGCCCATTTTCCCGCCCGTTTTCCCGCCCATTTCCCCCACGTGCCGCCCTCCCTCATCGTCCCCGGTTCGCGTCCCGCCGCGGGCGGAAAGGGGTTTGGGGCGGGGGCTGGGAGGATGGTGTGGAGGGTGTGCGTGCGCTGGGAGCCCCCGGGACATCGCTCTGAAACATCCCTGAGCATCCCTAAAGCGTCCCCAGAGCATTCTAGAGACAGTCCAGAGCACGACCCCAAAGAGTCCTCACAGAGCATCATCCCCACAATTCCTGGAGCATCCTGCAGTCGCCCTCGAGAACATCTCCCCTCAAGCATCCCAAAAGCATCCCAAAAACACCCTCCAGGTCATCCCTCTGAAACATCCTCCGAGGCAACCCACAAACAGCCTTCAGAGCATCTCCCTGAAACATCCCACAGAGCATCCCAAAAACGCAATCTAAACCCTGAAAACATCACTTACTGGGGAGCACCACCCCCATAAATCTCACCAGGCACCCCAAAACACCCCCGAAACCTCCCTCCAAGCATCTCCGAAGCACCCCTACAACATCAAATATCCCCAGAGCAACCCAGCAGCGTTCCCTGGACCATCCCAGAGCACCCCCTCAGAAAGCCCCTCCCAGCACCCCCAGAGCTGCCCTGTAGCGTTCCCCAAACCATCTCCCAAAGCATCCCCTGAAAGATCCCCCACAACATTTCACCTCTGAACGTTCACCAACATCCCCCTAAAATCTCCGAAAATCCTACAGATCACCTCCCTATGTTCCTCCAAGCATTCACCAGCGCTCCCCCCAAAAAACTCCCCCAAAATCGCTGAGCATCCTCCAAAGTGCCCCCAACGCCCCCAAACACCTCTGAGCATCCCCGGATGCGTTCTGAGCCACGCCGGCAGCCCGGGGCAGCGCAGCTCTGCTGCGAGGAGCTGGCAGCGCTTTGTGGGACGCAGCTCCGGGCAGCCTGCCCCGCTCCCGCTGCCCCATTGAGCCGTGCCGGGAACTAATTGGCACTGGAGCTGGAACGCAGCCTGGAAACAGCAAAAAGGGAGCGCAGGTTGGAGGTGGGGGCAGCTTTGCAAAATGTGACCCCCCCAAAAAATAACAACAACAACAAAAAAAGCACAAGGAAATGGGACGTGGCACCCTGCTCCCCAAATCGCCCGGGACTCTCCAGCCATCCCATGGAAAGGGGACAGAAAATTGCAAATCTGGGTGAATTCTCCCCAAGCAAGTGTCAGCTCGGGCTGCCGGGGAGGCGAAACACACAGGGCTCTATTGAGAGTGCGAGGGACAAATAAAAAAAGGGAAAAAAAATTGCCCGGGCTTAGGGCCAGCAGCACGGAGGGACGTGCCCGGAGCGGGACCGCAAGGCAGAGCAGGGCCCCGCAGCCGGCCCGAAATGTGGGGAGCTGTGGGCACCCCGCGCCTGCTGCCCGCCGCCTGGCTCCTGGCTCTGCATGCAGGTAGGGGCCGCTGGCACCGCCTGCACCGCGCTGCTTTCCGCTCTTTCTTTTTTCGCCGCAATGGGGTGGGACGGAATGCAATGGGGGATTTGTTCGGGGACGGTTAGGGGGCGGTGGGGTGGATGGGTGCTGCTACCTCTCTTGGCAGAGGGGTGGAAAGGGGGAAATTGGGGCTGAAAGATACGAAAAGAACTCCGTTGCAGGAAAGTGGGCTGTGCTGTGGGAGGGGGGAAGGGGGGCGGCCCCCCGTGCGCTGGCAGCTCCTTGGCTTCCCCAGCTCTTTTCTTGCTCACTCTTCACCTTCCCCTCACAGCCCTTTGGTCGCCCCTGTTATCTCCCGTTACCCCCATCCCGCTGCAGCTCACCCCAAAGTATCACAAATTCCCTAAATCCCCCCCAGAAAACTGATTCTGGGGACTCAGCACCCCCTGAGGTAATAGCCCCCACCCTGGGCCTGGTGCAGGAAGGCAGCTGCTGTTTTGCACCATTTCTCTGAAATTTGGACCCGTAAGTAGCACAGAAGATGTCGGACTGAGGATGCAAAGTGCATCAGTTTTGAACTCCAAAATTTATTACATGGAGTGGAGGGGGTGGGGTTGAAGAAATCATTGACCTTTTGGGGAAGCATTAGAGTTTTGGAGAGGTTTGTGTGATGCTCTCTAAATCCCTCCCTTTATCCCCCCAAAAACCTGAAAAAACAAAGCAGTGGGATTAAAACAGGCACCCAGTTGTGTTTGAGGGATGGGGCAGGGGTTGCATCCTAGACCTCCAGCCAGATTTTCCCCCAGAATTTCACCCCGCAGTGCCTTTTCAAGGCTGAGCTTCATGGCTGTTGGGGAGGGCGGATGGACGGATGCTGCATACCAATAGGTCCCGTGACTTTCGAGCTTGTTTAAACCCTTTCTTGCTCTGCTCGCCTCCCTCCTCACCCTCCCCAGCTGATTTCCCCTGTTCAGTCTGGTATTTGTTCACCTCTGAGGGATGCCATCTGGACAGAGAATCATGAAGTCCCCAAATTGGTGGAGATAGGAGTTTTGGGGAGTAAACCCATTCTTTATTTTTGTATTTATTTCTTTTTCTCCAAAGAACAGTTTTGTAAGCTGTTTGTTGCTTGCTTTGAGCTCAGCTAGTTTGCATTTCCCCATGGGGTGATGGGGACTGGTGGGTCCCCTTGAAACTGGGACACGGGGACTCAATCCCCTTCTCTGTGGCTGTGCACAGAGGGAGGAGTGTTGGCTGCACAAGAGCATCCTCTACAGGGGGTGCAGTGCAAAAATGTCATTCCTGTGCATGCATCTTTGCCACGAGTTGCATCAGACCCGCAGTGCACCTTGCAAGGGTTGCATCCACTCCGCTGTGCGTTTGGAAAGAGGTTCACCAACCCCACCAACGCACTTCTTGTCAGTACTCCAATGCACTTTGCAAATGATTGCATCGACGCTGATGCAACCAATGCATCAACCCCCTCCAATGCATTTTGCAGAGAGCTGCATCAGCCCTTGCAATGCACTTTTTTGAGGCAACGTACGCGTTTTTTAAGAACTCCATGCAAACAATGGGGGTGCTGCAGTCGAGGGCTTCTTGGGGATGCCTGCCGCAGCTCCGGGAGGGGATTTCCCCTTTTTCGGAGAGCCGGGACGCGGCGCCCGCTGTCTCCCCCCATCCCCAGGTCTGCTGGCGGGGGTGAACATCACCAGCCCGTCGGCACTGGTGCGCGGCACGGCAGGCAAAGCGGCGCTGCTGTCAGTGCGCTACGCCAGCGCCAGCCCCGACAAACCGGTGGTGAAGTGGCAGCTGAAGCGGGACAAACCCGTCACCGTCGTCCAGTCCATCGGCACCGAGATCATCGGCAACCTGCGGCCCGACTACCGAGACCGCATCCGCGTGCTGGAGAATGGCTCGCTGCTCATCAGCCCGCTGCAGCTGGCCGACGAGGGCAGCTATGAGGTGGAGGTCTCCATCACCGATGACACCTTCACTGGCGAGAAGACCATCAACCTCACTGTGGACAGTAAGGGCGAGGAGGGTTGCCAGACGTGTTTGGGTTTTCCCAACAGGACAGCTTTGTTCTGGGAGGGATTTGGGCAGCAGAGAGTTATGGGGAGTTTGGCCATATGGAGAGATGGTTCTGGCTTGCTTGCAGCCAAATCGTGTCCCCAGTGGGGTTTTGAGGTCCTTTCCCCATCCCCTGGGTCCATCCATGTCCCGCAGGGCATTGGTGTCACCCGGGCTCCCATCATCCACAGTCCCCATCTCAAAGCCACAAGTGTTGGTGGCCTCCTCAACAGTGCTAGAGCTCAGCGAGTTCTTCACCCTCAACTGCTCACACGAGAATGGCACCAAGCCCACCTACACCTGGCTGAAGGATGGGCGGCCGCTGAACAACGACTCCCGCCTCCTCCTCTCCCCTGACCAGAAGATCCTCACCATCACTCGTGTCCTCATGGCAGATGATGACATCTACAGCTGCCTGGTGGAGAATCCCATCAGCCAGGGCCGCAGTGTCCCCGTCAAGCTCACTGTCTACCGTAAGATGTGTCCCCACAGCTGGCCATTGCTGGAAGATGCTGCTGGTTAAGCTTTTGGGGGTATTTCCTCCTCACTGCTCTCTCCTAGGCCGGAGTTCCCTCTACATCATCCTCTCTACGGGTGGCATCTTCCTGCTCGTAACTCTGGTGACTGTTTGTGCCTGCTGGAAACCTTCCAAGAAGTATGGCTTGGGGGAATACAGGAGACAAAGGGATCCTTCTCCTAGCCTATCCCGTCCCATCCTATCTTCCCTGATCTATCCCATCCTATCCTTCCCTTTTCCATCCCATCTTGCCACGTCTCATCCCATTTGCTCCCCTCCCTTGTAATCCTGTTCCATTCTGTCTCATTTCATCCTACTTAATTCCATCTCATCCCATCCCAAATTGCCCCGTTCTGTCCTTTCTCACCTCATCCCATTACATCCCACGTCACCCAGTTCTGTCCCATCCTGTCCTATCCCATCTCACCCTGTTCCACTCTCCCTATAGCACCATGGTCACCCATGGCTGTGTTTGGGGCCATTCTCTCATTAGTATCATTACCGTCACTGCCATGGCAGTGACCATGACCATCAGCATCAACACCAACATGACCGTGACCATGACCACCACCATGACTGTCACGGTTACTATAATTTTGACCCATGGCCACCATCATCACAGCCTCTGTTCACTCTCCAGACCGAAGCAGCAAGCAGAGCCACCTCCCCCTGACTACACAGAGCAGGATGAGGAGCACCCCAAGCACGAGGGTGAGTGCGGCGCTGGCAGCATGGGCAGCACCGCGCTGTGGGCACCCACCTACTCCCCTTCCCGCAGCTGAGACCGTCCCTCGTGGTGCCGACCATGATCGCAAGACCCCCCTGGCCCTCTACATCCTCAAGGAGCAGGTGAGTGGGTGGCGGGGATGCACTGCAGGGCAGTCCGGAACATTGCGCTTACCGCAGTGCCATGCTGTCCCTGCAGGACACTGCAGCACCTCAGGAGGATTCATCACCACCCGCTGGGCGCTCACCAGGACGCGGGGCTCGCCGCTACCATCGCTCACCTGCTCCAGCCCGGCCACCCCGCTCACCCCCCGGCTCCCCTGCGCGATCCCGCTCTGCTGCGCGCCTGCTGCGGGCCACCGGGGTCCCTGCCATCCGTGAACAGGAGGAAGGCAGCGCCCTGGAGATCAGTGCCTGAGCTAGCGGTGGTGCTGGGGAACACGTGCATGGCCCGGCCTGGCCCAGGCGTGGAGGGGTGACACAGGGCATGGTGGAAAGTCACTAATTTGGTATTGAACTTTGCCGGAGCTGCACCCTTCCATTCCGTTGGGGTGCTGGGGTGTTGCTGTAGTGGCCGTGGGGCCGGGTGTGGGGCGCATGGGGAGCACACACACACACATGCGTGGGACATATGTGGAGCATGCACAGAGAGCCCACGCCGTCTGCAGAGAAAGTGAGCGTGGAGCACATGGAGTGAGTGTGCACAGAGCGTGCACAGAACATGCAGAGAGCACATATGTGGTGTGCAAAGAGAGCGTGCAGGAGCATATGCAGGAGAGTGCTGAGTGTGCTCAGATTGTGCGGGGATATCATGAACAGAGCATGCAGAGAGATGGTGCATGAAATATACGGAGAGAGCATGCAGATAGAGTGTGCACAGAGCCTGCAAGAGAATGTGCATGGACTGAGTGGAGAGAGCAGCCTGGAGTATGGAGAGAGGGCATGTACAAAGGGCGCAAGAGAGCATGCACAGGAGTGTATAGACAGAATGCACACAGCATGCAGAGGTAGCGTGCAAGAGCACATAAATAAAACATGTCAAAAGCGTGTCAAGAGAGCGTGCACCAAGCATGCAGCTAAGACCAGACAGACTGCATAGCAGAAGTACTTGTGCAGAATGTGTGCATGGCATGTGCATGGAACATGCAGGTAAGTGTGCAATTTGCAGAGAGTTTGCCAGCGTTTGGAGTATGCTCCAAATGTGCATGGAGCGTGTAGAGAGCATGAGTGTTCAGAAAGCATGGGGCGTGTGGAAGGAGCGTGCATGGAGTGTGGGAGAAGAACATGCACGGAGCATGCACGTGTTATGCATGTGCAAGAGCACTGTGCACATGACCACAACCCCATGCATGCAGTTGGTGTGCCGGCTCCCATGCGCACGCACACCCACACACACCAGCGGAAAGGCCCCCAGCCCTCTGGCTGCACTGTACCCAAACACAGGCCCAAGTCCCAGCAGTGAGCAGTGCCCTTGCAGCCACCAGCCACCCTCTGCTGCCTCTGGATTTTCTGTGAAAATCTCCTGTTTTTCAGCGCACCCATATGCATTGCTGCAGGATCCCCAGGAGTAGGTTTAGGACAGAGCCGAAGGGCCGGGGCGCCAGAGCAGGTGCTGGGGCAGCCCGTGGTGCTCAGCGTGAGCAAGCACTCGTGGATGCTACTAACCAATAAACTCCATGTGTTACCCAGCTCCAAGGTGCTCAGTGTGTTGGGGCGGTGTGCTGGGAGGGGGGACAATGTGAGGAAGACGGGTGGCAGCTGGGAAGAACCAACTCAGTGCACCCGTTCAGGCAGCAAGAACGAGGTCAGCAAGACAGCTGGTGGGGAAATACCAAGTTGGAGGGAAGTAGCACCCGAAGACAGTTTGGGAAATGCTGAAATTTCCCTCAGATTTTAGTTTGCAGTGCTCCTTTGAGACTGTTCACTCCAGTCCCTACTTATGGCATTGTGCCCTGCAGCCCTCCCCGCCCCATGCTGATCTCACTTCTCCTTAACCCACCCTTCCGTGCAGCCCACTGGCTGCTCCTCCAGCCAGGCTGACTGCGTCCCCCAGTGCTTCCCGTCCCTCGCATCCGGCCATTGTACCCTACCGGGAAGGACCGCATCCAGGGACAAAGCGGGAGGCCATGGAGGGCGGCTGGGCCATGGCGCTGGGGCTCTGGGCTACTGCACTGTGCCTGGGGGGCTGCCACCCCTCCGGAGGGGACATGGAGTCACACAGCACCCAGCGCCCAGCTGGTAAGGACATCATGGGGATGGCGATGGGTGGGTGGGGGATATCCTAAAAGGCGTCTCCACCAAGGGACGTGTGCCCTCTCCCACAGAGCTGCGGGACAATTTTCGCCTGCAGCCCGGGGACCTGGTGGTCGTGGCAGGGCAGGCGCTGGAGCTGGACTGCGTGCCCCCCGCCGGGCAGCCCGAGCCCCGCGTCACCTGGAGGAAGGACGGCGTCACCCTGCGCCTGGCTGGGGGCCGTCACCAGCTCACCCAGGGGAAGCTGTGGGTGGCCTCGGCACGCAGGAGCGACGCGGGGGTCTATGTCTGTGTGGCAGCCAACGCAGCAGGCGAGCGGCACAGCCGGGGTGCTCAAGTCACCATCCTGGGTAAGCTGCAGTGGGTGAGGGTCCTGGGGCACAAAGACGCACCACGTCACCTCCCCGATGTCTCCTCCCTGCAGAGAAGCCAGTCATCGTGCGGCGGCCAAGTGATGTCACAGCAGTGGCCGGCAGCACGGTGGAGCTGAGCTGTGGCGCGCAGGGCGACCCAGCACCGCGGGTTCAGTGGCACAAGGAGAGTGGGGATCTGCCCTGGGGGAGGTAGGAGGCGGTGAGGTCATCTCTCCTGTGTGGGTGACACGGGGTGATGGGATGTTGGTGTCCACAGGCACGAGGTGGATCAGGAGCACACGCTGCGACTCTACGCGGTGACGGCAGCCGATGGTGGTGCCTACGTCTGCACAGCCCAGAGCCAGCTGGGCAGCGCTGCCGCCACCGCCCGCCTCCGTGTGGAAGGTCAGTGGGGACCACCAGAGACACCACGTGGGGGCATCTGAGGGGGCAGCTGATGGGGGCCATCTCATGGAGCTCAGTTTCATTGAGTTTGCTTTAAAGAGGTTCATCCAAAGCGTTATCCACGGGGAGTCCATCCGAGGGCGTCCATCAACAAAGGGCCTATCTAACTGAGTCATCTCAGGGGATACATTCAAGAAGAATGCAGCCAAGGGGGTGGGAATCCTTCCAAAAGGGGGTTCTGTATGAGTAGGTCCATCTACAGGATTCCATACAACAGGATCTATCCAAAAGGTTCCATTCAGACAAGGTGCATTCAAGGGGAATCACTTGAGTAGGGGTCAGTTTAAGGAGTCTCCACACAAGAGGATTAAAGGGGAACATTTTGGAACCATCCAAGAGGACAAATGGGATTCAACTAAGCTGCTTCCTCCAAGGGGATCCATCTAGGGAGTTCTGTCAGGGGGGATTCATTACAGTGGGATCCAGCCAAGAGATATCCATCCAAGGGTTCCATCTAAGAAAGATGCATCAGTGGGAATCCACCATGGGATGCAGCGGAGGAGGCCGTTCAAGAGCTCTTCATCCGAAGGGTCCATTTAAGTGTAACCACGTGAGGAGGCATCTTGGTCTCCAGTGTTTCTGGGGTGCAGGAGCCACCGTTATCCTCGCTCTTTCCTGCAGGGCAGCTGCCGGCAGGCCGGTGGGAGGCCACACGGCGGAACCTGCTGGCTGTGCAGCTGCAGCTGGACAACGGCACTGCACTGCCCACCAACGGCACTGTCTGGCTCCGCTGGAAGGTAGGTGCGCCTCTACCTGGTGGAGGAATAAGATCCTTTCCTTATGTTCCCATAACCCTTCTTGTTCCATCCAGATGGTGACACCAGGGCCAGCTCCAGAGGGCTACGTGGTGCTGTATCGCTGCCTGCTCCCTGCCAGCACTGCCTGGTCCCAGCAGGACGTGGGCAGGGAGCTCAGCACCGTCATCCCTGCACTCCAGCGGGGCTACCAGTACGAGTTCAAGGTCCGACCCTACGCTGGTGGGACCCAGGGCTTGGACAGCAACAGCTGGCACCTCTGGATCCCTGAGGAAGGTAGGTTGGGTTGGTGGGAAGGGAGATGTGGGCAGCTATGTGAAGGTCTTAGGGGCTCAGTGTTGCTGTCCCAGCAGTGCCAAGCGCAGCACCCCAGCGTGTCACCGTGGGCCAGGCTGCACCAGGGAATGGTACCGTTATCGTGAGCTGGGAGCCACCTCCTCCTGATGCCCACAATGGCATCATTCGAGGCTACCAGGTTTGAGGGGACAAGGGTGTCATCCATGGGAGTTCCATCTAAGGGAGCTTCATCCATGGAAGAATACATTCATGGTGGGGTTCCATCCAAGAGGGATCCATCCAAGGTGGGAGAACTGTCCAAAGAGGTCAAACCGATGGGACCATCAAAGAGGGGCCCATCCAAGAAAATCCATCCAAGGGGGTTTCTAAGGGCAGTCATCCAAGAGAATCTATCCCAAGGGGATTCCTCAAGGGAATTTCACCTATCGGCACCCATTAGGTCTGGTCCCTGGGCGAGGGCTGGCTACAACCCACCAACCGTACAGTGGACGGAGGAACACGTCGCTTGGAGACCCTCCTGCATGGCTCTGGGGCCAGATACTGCATCCAAGTAGCCGCGTTCAATGGTGCAGGGCTGGGGATCCCCAGCAACGTCACCTGTGGCGTCTTGGGTAGGAAAAGGGGTCTGCTGTGGGATGCAGCAGGGAATAGAGCAGTGGCACAGGGTGACATCGACTGTGCCCTTGCAGAGATGATGGCAGGGAGCACTGGAGTGGTGCAGGTGCTGCAGCAGCCTGCGGTCATCGCAGCCACTGGCTCACTGCTGTGGCTGGCCCTGCTTGCCCTCCTCCTCCTCATCTGCCAGCGTCGCGCCAGCCAGGACTCCATGGCACAACACGGGTGAGTGACTGTGGTGGGGATCTGTGGGGTTCTCTGGCACAGGAGGGGTGGGATCCTGATGACAACCCTTGCCCTGCAGGCGGAAGGACGCTGATGTGCCATGGCTCAGCAGCCCCTGGAAACCTGTCTGTGTTCCTCAGAACCTCAGTGGCAGCAGCAGCCTCAGCAGCCGGCTCCTGGGAAGCGACAGCAGGGACCCCCAGCCCTCTCGTGAGCCCTCTGTCGCGACCCCCATCCAGGGCTATGGGACCCCCCTATGCTTTAGAACCTCCACTCAGTGCCTGGAACCCTTCACCACAGGGTGCTATGGGAGTCCCGCCCGATGCTTGGGATGCCCCCAGAGGGCTACGGGACCCCACTGGGACTTGGGACCCCCACAGGGTTCTGTGGGACACTCACAGAGTACCTTGGACTCCTCATCCAGTGCCATTGGATGCCCATGTACTGCCCTGGGAAGCCCACCCAGGTGTCTGAGACTCTCTTTCAAGGTTCTATGGCCACCCCATCCTCTACCTCCAACCTCCTCATCCCCATGATGCTGTGGGACTCTTACCAAATCTAGTGAGACTCTCAGGTGATGCTGTGGGATCCCCACTCAATGCCTCTTACAGAGTGCCTGGGACACACAGTGGGTACGGGGCCCCCATTTGGGACAGATGGTGCCTGGGATGGAGGGGCTCAGGGGTTCAGCACCCGAGGGTGCCCAAGCCTGACAGCTTTCCCCCTACAGCCCTGACCTCAGAGCTGCCGAGCCTCAGCCCTGCGACGACCCCCAGCTGCAGCCACCTCTGCAGAGAACACCCCAAAACCAGCACGTCCAGCCTGGCACTGTGGGAGCACATCCGCAAGCGAGGTGGGAACAGGACAGGGAGATGGGGCGGCATGCTGGGAACAGCAGGATGGTGGCTGATGGCTGTGTCCCCATGCAGAGCTGGACCGTACGCACAGCTCCCCAGTGCCGGTGGCTGGGCTCAGGGCCATTCCTGTGCCCTTGTGTGGTGGGGAGTGGGGGACACATTTTGACTCAGTGGACAGATGGCCTCAGCAGAAAGGACAGGATGGTGACATGGCACTAGCAGGAGAGGACCCATGGTGGCTGCCCACCATCAGCTCCCCGAAACCACGGCGCAGTTCGGTGGCATCAATTGGTGCTGGGATGCTGGTGGCACCTACAGGACATCCGCACATCTGGCACCCCATGGGGACCCGGTGAGTCTGTGTGTCTCTAGGGGACGCCCCGGGTGCTATAGGCTGCCCCCTTCCCTGCCCCGGTCAGGTGCTGCAGTGGCAAAAGCCAACTTGTTCTATGTGCCTGCAGGTTCCCAGCCATGGGGTGCTCAAGGGACACTTCTCCAGTCACTGGGAACCCCAAAGACATGTCCACGGTTACTGGGAACCCTGGGGGCATGTCCCCAGAAACCAGGAGCCCCAGGACTGTGTCCCCAGTCACTAGGAACAGCAAGAACACCAGGAACCAGAGGGACAAGTCGTCTGTCACCAGGAGCCCCGTAGATATGTCTCCTGCCACTGTGAGCCGCAAGGAAATGTTACTGGCCACAAGACCTAGCAGAGATGTGTCCCCGGTGACTGGGTGCCCCAGGGGCAGATCCCCAGTCATTGGGCACTCCAAGGAGAAGTCTCCAGCCACCAGGAGCCCCAGAGACTTGTCCCCAGCCTCTAGTCACTCCCTGGCCACCACGGTCCAGGAGAACATGTCCCCATTCA